TTTTTGTTTAGCATTAGTGTGAAAAGCATTAGATTTCTCAAGTGTTTTCCAGGGCACAATAAATCCTATAGCTTAACACCTGTGTTCTGTGTGGACCCATTCAAAAGAAATGTTCACTACACAAAAACGATGGTTAAAACCCTCATTGTCAAACTTTATCATGATGGCAGAAATAAACATAAAAATCTAGCCTGTGTTTCTGTGAATAGAGAAGATGTGAAAGCCACAAAATCTCATTCCAACCTTCTCGTTGCCAAGCCTTTAACTTAGAACTTACATGGCGGGTACAAGCTGACTGAAAACCGACTGAGTCTTCAGATCATTTAGCTCTGCAATGAAGAAAATAATGCTGAATAGAATAATGTAATACTAGCTAAATAGGCTGCTTAAAGAGCAGTTTAGATTCATATCCCATTCAAATGGAGTCATTTTACTCCTATTTATTCTTACTATTATCCCAAGTTTTCAGCTGTGCTCAAGATACCTTTAAATTCTTTTCATAGTTTTGATTTGGAGCAGTGAGTTAGGGATGCAGCATAAAAAAAAACCTAGGCTGTATAAATGGTGGGGTACCTAGGATGTATGTATTTATTTATTGGACTGGATGGATGAAATTGTGGCTTTCTTGAAAAGGTAATCTGTTGGTGTTTGCAACATAAAGACCATTTAAGATTGTTTTTCCAGTCAGTTTTCAGCATTGGTGATACAGATGTATGTTAACTTGCAAAACAGTTCAGATTTGTGTTGTGTAGCATAGCATAGCATATTAGAAGGCAAAGTTACAGACCCTTTGGTTTGCTGTAGATAAGTAATAAAAAGAATTGGTGTGATGAGCAGATATGAATCAATGGAGAACATCCTGGCATGAAATAATCTATAAAAAGCACAATATTTGAAAAATGGAGTAATACTGGCTCCGTTTAGCTAAATCTTACATTTCACCAAAGCCAACATCCACAAATTTTAGCCATCAACATTCTCTCTCCCTCTGTCTTTCTCTGACACTGCAGCAAATCTTGATAGCTCAAGTGGAAGCTTGAGACCATGTTTTGGATCTTCCTTTTTGCTAATCCCAGATCATGAATTGGAAATAGTGAAATTTAATAGGTATGCACCAGAGAAATGAGCATTCTTTACAGTCATAATACTTCATAAATGATGCCAGTACTTCTGGTCAAAGGACTTATTTGTTAGCCAGCAAAATACTTCAGAAATGGCTGATGTTTATAATATGATGCTGATACTTCCAAACCCTCTGCTGTTATTGCCAGAGCAATTTAGGAGCATGTATTCATCTACCTGTCTATAAAGCCTGTAGGAGTCTCAGAATGTAAACAGAATGAAGCACATTTTTAACAAACATCGAAAAGCACTCCAGATTGGTGTGGGACTGGCTGTATAGCCAGCTCTGAGTGAGTGCTGTGAGATATGAGAGGAAGTGAACAGCTTTTAAAATTAAATAAAATTGGCAACTTTTTATATTGTGTCATCAAGATGAAAAATTACTCTTGCCATAAAAATATTAAGCTGAATGAGCAAAGAGCATGCATAGTAAAAATGAAGGAATACAGAACTATTCCACCTGCACTGACCAAAAGTAGGGAAGGGTGATAATTTTGTTCAGTCTGGATTTTTTGATAAGTTATCAAATTAGTAGATCTCTTTATAGAGGGGATGGAAAAAAATTTGCAAGTTTTTGTTTCATAAACATGGGAGGAAGCAAAGCTGACATTCATCCATTTAGGTGCAGAGTTTCTTATGCCTAAAGTCTGGAATTTAATGCCTGTGCAGTCAATCAGTTTTGTGTGCTGAACCAGAGTTGTCACCTTTTTGTTTTCTAGCAGGCTTATCATCTTCAAAAGCTACAGGACAGGCAGGTATATCTTGGCCTCCTGCATCCTGGGAATACCTTTACTGATTGAATTTGACTGCTTCAAATGGATAACAATTTCATTTGGTTCATTTTTGATCCAAATTCACTAAAATTTGCCAATTTGGTCAGAAAAAATGGATTTGAGATTTCAAAAAAGTGAATGGGAGAAACAGTGAAACTGAGAGATTATTCCACACCTGGATGCAATGTTACCAGGGTGGCTGATGAATTTTGCTATTTAGGAGCAAAGAGAGTCTGTTCACAGATAGCCCTTGCTGGCCCAAGGTTTTCCTGGGCTGGAGGCGGGGTGAGGGGTTGATGCTAACTCACACCAAGCAGATTTCCTTCCACACTAGGGAGAATTAGGAAGTTGTGTGCATAGAAACTATACAAGGTACTGCTAGCTTGGGCAAACATTTGCAGTTTAAAATGCATTGCTAATTCATTGTTTCTTCCCGTTTCTGTCCCAAATTACATGAAACATTAAAATCTTGGTTATATTTGTCCATGGAACACCCTATGAAGCAAGCCAGCTTTTATCTTGATACCTAAAAATGAACTTTTTTGGCTTGCTGCTTCTCTCTTTCTTTTTTAATAAAGCTGTTTTGTAGTTAAGTTCCTCAAGATTTTGTTCTGAGTTCACTCTAAAATAGTTTCTTTTGGGGTCTTCAGTCCATACCTACTGGTTTTTCCTCCTCTTGTTATTCTTTGTATTGTGAAGCAAAATAAGAGGCTTGACTTAAGAGTTGCAACATGTAGACAGATCACATGCATGATCTCCATGGAAACTGCCTGATTTATGTTTGTATTTAATTAGAGTTGTCCATTACATCCCCAAATAGAATGTAATTTGAATGCATATGCCAGTCACAGTTTAAAAGATTCGATTTACCTAATCTGGAAGTTGAGTGAGGTTGCATTTTATATTCATACTTCATTTAATACTTTCAAACAGAAAAGAAATCAAAACACTCCTTTTCTCCAAAACATTTGTGAACTTTACTAAGGGTTTTTTTCCCTTTGTGCAAAAGCTGTGCAATGTTTCCCATTTTTAAAATCAAAATCATGTCAGCTGACTCTCAGGATATGTCCCAGACAGAAACAAAAGCAGTGTAGATTAGTATTTACAATGGTGTTGTTTAAAAGTAGTTCACTTCAAGTAAATCAAAATTAGAAGCTGCAATTTGAACAGTTTCTCTATGGAAGCATTCTCCATATCCTCTGATTTGCTAAATTATAATATCTTTTCTATTCAGCCATCAGTGGCAATGCTGGCTAGGGTGAAGTGAGTTGAAATATGGCACATCTGAAAGGTGATGGATTAGAAAAAGCCGCATATGATATATCAATTATTGCTTTTAAAAATAGGAATTCTGACCCCAGGCCTTTGGCTTATGTCCTACCACCAAAGCAATTTGCAAGAAGTTAAATTTTCAGTAGAACACATTTAAGAAGAAAATTAAAATGCTACAGTATTGGAGGAAAAACGGTGTAGAAAGCAGTCAGAGGTATTCCTGCCATCTGGTCCACAAGCAGCATGAACCTCCCTGCGGGTGGAGCTAACTCCATTTGGGGAAGAAAGAAAGACAGGGATTCAGTTTAGAATCAGCTTCTTGGCACAGGGGCATTAATCTTGCTCTAATTTGCTAGCCCTCTGATAGATGTCTTTTGCTAACAACCTCTGTAATACTTATTTTGTATCACAAAGCCAGCTTGGTAAGCCCATAGTAACATAATACGAGGTAAAAGCTGTAACTATTACCTCCAGCTTGTCTTGATCTGCTTGGAAGGAGAGAGGGATAGGAAAACTGGCTTGTGACAGCATAAGTGGTTTCCCTACCTCCATATTACATTTGTAGCAATGGCCTGAACTATTTCTTTAAATGTTTGCTAACTTATAAGGTAAGCAATACTGTGGTATCAGCATTTTAAAATGAAGTGCATGGGATTCGGATTGCTCTGGGGACTTTCTGCCAGAACTGCCTTGCGTGGTATATAGCTCAGTTGCTCAAGGTACCAGTGGCAAACGTGGCTCTGTCTCAGAGGGTATCAGTCCCGACATTCTGCTTAATGTTTTGTTCAGCCTGCTCTTTATATGGTGGTTCAGGATATTGTATGAGTCTTATACACATTTTGGGCCCGCTGGCATTGTTGCGGGGGCACAGGATTATTTGAAGCCCCAGCTCAGACTCTGAAGGACAAGTCGCTGCCCCACCCATCTGAGTCGGTGCACGATGAACCAGCCCTGCTGCCTCTCCAAGCATCCAGCTGGACCTTGGAGAGGCAGAGAGGAGACATGCTGGGGTTGGGTGGGGAGGGGAGGAGGTTGGGGCTGTCTGCTTCCTCCAGTGCCTGTCAGCATGCCGCCCTCCTTCCCTCCCCTTCTTGGGAACTTAATCTAGATAGCCAAACAGGCACCTAGATAAAAGGCACAGCATGAGTCATGGCAGAGATCCCCACCAAGTTCAGAGGCTGCATCTGAAGCAGAGACTGTTGCATTGTACTCTTAATTGATAATAAGCCCTGTTGAATTAATTGGACCTGACTTCTGAGCAGACATGCTTAGGACTGGCATGTAATACATGCCTGTTCTATCAACCATTACTCTGCAGAGTAGATTATGGTTTCTTTAAAGTGTCTGATTCAATTTTTGTTCGCTTTTAAAAGTCTCTTAATCAGAGAAGCTTACATGTGGAATATCACTAATAGAAAAGCTTGGTTTTCTTTTTCATTCTTGTACTGTATTCTAAATTGCATCCCACATAAGAGGGACTGCAGTAATTTAAAGCGTAATGAGCTCCCTACCCCACCCAAAAAAAGAAGGAGAAAAATTATCTAGAATAAATTAAACTAACAGTATTAGACATGAAGTATAGGGGGGAAAATAAGGTTCCATAGGTTGAACTGAAAAATATTCTGAAAAAATATTATAAAGGAATTTTAAAGGAACAACTAATAGGCAATGAAGGTGATAATGATAAAGGAAAAGAAAAGGAGGAAGGAAGGAAAAAAATAAAAATGAAAATATATCATATTGCTCTGTGTATTTCTGAGTTTTGTGAAAGGATTTTGAATTTTATCTGTGACTCTGATCTATGCTGTTTACTTTGCATTTTTGTCTTTTCAGAGGAAGACGGTGGTGACCTCCTCAAGACGGGGATCAGTTTTCCAGGGACACCAGAAGAAGAGCTAGGTACAGATGCTATTTCTTATCTATATGAAACTAGTTTTCAAAACATGTTAGGCGCCAACCAATCCTTCATTAACAACAAGTGTGTGATATGCATAAAAATGTCATTTCGGTTTACTTATCATTTGAAAATTCCCATCTGGAATGTGAGCAGGAGTGAACAGAAAATGTTCACTAATTTCCTGACCTTCCATTTACATTTGCAAAATGTGTACATGAAATATGCTCAACTTTCTTAAAATATGCAAATCAGCTGCTCTTTAGGCTACAGGGGAAATGAATGCAATTTGGGGGGGGGGTTGTGCAACATTCATGTTTGGTAACTGTTTTGCACAGTTTCCTTGTTTGTGCAAAACAAGCAGTGATTGCAAATGAGTGAACAAGTCAAAGAGAAACAGTGAACTGATGCTCAGAAAATCTTGGCAAGCTTGAACCTAACTTGTTCATCCACCCCCTTAGTGTGTGATAGTATGTACCCTTTTATTTTAATCCAAAATCAGCTAGTATAATTACGGGTTCACTATTTAACTTCTGTACTTCTCACATGCTACAAAAGTTACTTTGTCTCTTCACTTCCCATCTTTTCTCCCTACTTGTACCAGCCACAGAAAGGATGAACAAAAATGCCAATCTATCTTTTTAACAAAATCGGGATGTTGTAAGTCAGAAGTGATGATTATGTGGCCTCCAGTCATTGTTGGAGTGTAACATCAGTCATAGCTGGTACAGCTTGTTTGCTATCCCTGTTCTAAGCAAATTCTGTCTGAGAAGGCTAAATCCATTGCTCTGAGCTACAAGAGTGTTCCGATGCAGAAACAGTCACATAACTCGTCCCACTTCCCATCCACAGATGTTTGGATGGTCTGGCCCATTTCACATAGGATGAACTTCCCATGCTGGCATAAGGAGAATCGTTGGAATCCCACACTGCAGCTCTGTGTGGCTTTGTCACAAGTATTTTCCCTTCTACATGTGACTACACGGGAAACTCCCAGCCGTCTGAGGTTGTGCACATGCTTTAATCATATATAATGATGCATGCACATAGTACAGTACATACGGTTTCCTTCAATGAAATGGATCAAGTGCGGATTAGCTCTCATTTCATGAAGCTACATTTGCAACCAGTACTAAAAAAATAAATTAACATTGAAAAATTGAAAAAAACCATTAAATACATGTGGTATCCACTAAAGTAGTACAATATGTATACATTGTTTGTCAATCACATGCATGTACATGTTATAACATAATATTTCTGTGAGTTGGCTATTGTCAGTTAAAAATGCAATGAAGAGGAGCAGCATTTAAGAATTTCTACAGATTTTCACCATATTGTAGCCTTTGCTCAGGTAGTGGGTCCTCTTTTGGCACTTTTACCCATTAGGGCAATGCATTAGGGGTGCTGTAGTATGATGGAAGTAATGAGAGGAATAAAGGCCTTGGCACTGGTGACCTTGGTTATCCATCCGTCACAGAGAACAAGGACTACATCTGCCGTTGGCTGATTGGGTTTGGTCCTGAGAACGACTGATTGACATTAGCTGAACAGCTCTCATTCTCAGGGACTCTGCTTGTTAGTGGGTGCAAAGAGCTGCCCCTTGAGAAGGAAAATGAAGGGTCTAGGAAAAAGAACAAGTAAAGCCAGTAAAGGACTGAAAGAAGAAGTGATCTACAGGGAGAAAAGGTCAAAGGCATGAGTCTGAGAGGGGAAGGAAAAGGGAGAGATGGAATGGACAGAGAAAACATAGATTGTGGGAAGTATATGTCATACTTGCAGAGGTAGAAGATGCATATTGATTTGAAAGAGAAACGAATCTTTGGTCGGATGCCTCTAGTTTGTTTAATGGGAGAGGGTTAAGAATATGTTTCACTTATTAACTGTGACAGTGTTTAACTTTGGCTGGATATTTCCCACACTGATGTGGAAAACTGAGACAACATTATATAACTACTATATATTCATCTAAAGTAGATTGGATATTCAATTTTATAATTTTAGATACTGAATCAGGAATAGAGATTTGTACCTTTTTTGTTTTGTTTCCTCTTACTTTGTTTTGTGTACCTATTTTTGCATTCCTCATCCTTTAATGGTAGATGGACAAAACAATAGACTGAGCTGAAGTGATTAAGGTAACACAGAATATATATTTTGAACAGCTTTAGCTATATAGTTCCAGCTCACCTGCTATTCTGACTTTAACAAAAAATGTTGAAAAAAGTAATTAAAATTATTTTTCCATATTCTGGTGAATAGATTTGCTCATTACAAAAACTAAGAAACTAAGCTGTAGAAAAATCACTGTAAATGCTGGTCACAACCCAGCGATACACTTTTAAGTGTCATCGTTTTCACTTGGGGAGAGTAAGCATGTGCCTAACTCCTTCCCATCAAAATCAATGAAACTTAAGTGCTTGGGCTAGCCCAAATGAGGCTCTAATTCTGAGCAAGAAAAATGTAACTGAAAATTGTTTCAAGAATTATAGTTTTCCCCTTCAAAATGCGATAGAAAAAATATTTTCAGAAGTATTATATGTCTGGATATTAAGAAGTGTTGACTTTTCCTATATCATGACCCACTAATTATTTGGCAGCCCTGTTCTTATGTTAGCTGTGTTTTTGTTTTATTTTCCTTACCCTCTGTTCTTTTCCAGTAAAAAAAAAAAGAGAGAGAGATGGAAGAGCTGGGGATTATATGCATAAACTCCAAACATCTCATTTGGCCAAATTTTATGGAGCAATTAGCATAGAATTGTGGGTACTTGAGTGCACCATTGACACAAAGTTTTAGGGTTCCTTAGCTTGTCCTAGATTCTTCATAAAATGTCTTTCTGTGAACTTTGGAACATATTATTAGAAAATAATCATACAGTATTGTATAAAGTATACCACACTTACTCTCAGAAACTCGATTGTTTAATCTCCATATTATATATTAGTAAAAATTCCATAAAAGATTGGTTGAATTGTCAGTACTAAGTGCCTTGATGGTTAAATCCACACATTAGTTAATTTATTTAATGCATAAACACTACTCTTCATACATATTTATCCTAAGGCAGTTTCAGATGCAAATTAAAAATAATACATGCTTCCCCCATACTCATTTCTAGTCGAGCAAACTCTGCATACTGATTTTTCATTTTTCTAACACTGAGGAGCTAGCACATACACCTCTCGTGTGTCTATTTATTCAACTTATGGATGGATTTTCTTTCTTTTTCCTTTTAAATACATAGATTCTTTCTTACATTCCAGGTGACTGTGGGGTAGGGGTAGAAAAGAGAAAGAACATCTGCAGAGAGACATAAGCAGGTGCAAATGCCTTTCGTTCATTTTAATTAGAGCAAAAGTATAGAAAATGATAAGCAATCTATTACTGCGTGAATATATTTCACTGGGTGGATCAACAACAAAATATCCTAATTTGGGGAGAAAAAACTTGTAGCATTAATTTGTAGGCAGATTTGTAAAGCTAAACCTAGACATTCACATGTATTTTGTTGCCAGCAAATACTAAGAACGCTATCAGATGGAAGTGTTTGATTCTGGGTACTAGGAAACTACTTAGTACTTGCAACTGTGTGATGAGTTGACATAAGCCATACCTCTTCCATATGGTCACAATTATGAAAGCAGAGAGCTAAAGGATACTAAGTGGGAGTATTTTTCATGGGTGACTTGATAGTACACTATGAATTTCCTGCTAAACCAAGAACAGCAACTCGGGAAATAACTACCAAGGGAGAGCAACTTTTGTTCCAGTACTGAGTTCTTAAAACAGCTTATAAGTTAAGAACACAGAGATGTATGGGCTTCCTTTAAAAGGGATTAAAACCCATTCACCTTCACTTTATTCTCCAGAGTATTCCTTCGTATTCCTTTCTCCAATGTAAACTACTGAATGGCAACACAGGAGACATCGCTTGTTAATATTAGCCCATTGCCTGACCAAAACTGGGGGCCCTTGGCAAGGCAGCCTCCCTCTCTCAGGGAGTCTACTTTTTTGCCACTCTGGTCACCAGCTGCTCTGGCTCCTCATTCTCTTCTTCATTGTTGCTACCACTCGCTTGCTTGATTGACAGGTGGAGAGCATAGAAACATAGAAACAGAGCGAGTCAGAAGGGGCCTCCCGGGCCATCTAGTCTGACCTCCGGCACCAGCCGGCTCCGCTCACAACATGCCCACCATGTGGACGTCCAGCCTATCCTTGAACATCCGCACCAATGGGGCCTCAACAACCTCTCGTGGAAGCCCATTCCACACCCTCGGGGTCCTGACTGTCAGGAAGTGCTTCCTGGCATCTACCTTGAATCTTGGCTCCCTGAGCTTTGCTCCATTGGAGTGCGTCCTGCCTTCCTCTGCAGGGGAGAACAGGTCTCTACCCATCTCCGTGTGACATCCCCTCACATACCTGTATGTCACCAACAGATCCCCTCTGAGTCTCCTCTTCTCCAGGCTGAAGAGACCCAGTTCCCTCAGTCTCGCCTCATACGGCATCCCCTGCAAACCGGCCACCAACCTTGTGGCCCTACGCTGCACTGACTCCAACCTGGCTATATCCTTTCTGTAATGAGGGGCCCAAAACTGAACACAATACTCCAGTTGCGAGTGCACCAGAGTCGTGTAGAGTGGTAGTAATACATCTCCTGATCTAGAAGCCACACTTCTGGCTATGCAACCAAGGGTGGCATTTGCCCTCTTGACCACTGCATCCCACTGCTGACTCATGTTTAGCCTGCAGTCAACCAGTACCCCGAGGTCCCTTTCACAAGTGCTGCTGTCCAGCCACTTGTCACCTAACCTGTACTTATGACAGCTATTCCTATGCCCCAAGTGCAAGACCTTGCACTTATCCACATTGAACACCATCCTGTTGTCTCCTGCCCACTTCCATAGTCTGTCCAGATCCTTTTGGATCTGGAGTACCTACTCCTCAGTTGTGGCCCCTGCTCCAGTTTTAGTGTCATCTGCGAATTTGATCAGCAGACTGTTCAAC